ATGACATTTTCTGGAAATCTCAGTCATTCAGTTAACCAAAATGCCTGTAATGGTTAAAACCAGAGACAGTGGGTCCTTGAGAGTCTCCAGGAAGTGTTGGCAGGGAGCCAGGAAAACCAATGAAAACAGTATAGTTTTTTAAAAGAAGCGGTGATCTTCCTGCTGCAATCTTTGTGTAAGCAAAGGAGAGCTGGGAGAGATGGACTGAGCCAGGAACAAGGCATGGAATATCCAGGGATATCCAAGTCTACGGAAGGACTAAATGTTGGAACAACGGGTATGTAAGTAGAATACAGAATGTTTCGTCAGATGCAATTGGGTTATTTTCTTTTGTGATTTGTTGAATGCCTCTGTGTTGTGTTCATGTACTCCCTCTCCTGTACACTACCTTTTAAACTGAATCCCAGGGAAGCAATTTTCTGTGTTTTTATCTGTCTTTTTTCAGTTACTCTGTAACACCTAGCAATCAAGTAATGCTTTACCAAATATGTCTTTTTGGTTTTAAGAAAATCACCTTTTTAAGACTTTGATCTTCTGTGTCCTGGAGATTCTGTGTGCACATGCCTACAACTGTCAAGAAATTACAGTTTGTTTTCAAGCTCTCTCCAGAGAGAGGGTTAAAGAACTTGAGGGTACCCCACATGAAGAAATTCCCATTAACCATACATTCTCAAAGATCTAACAGCATAAAATAATCCAGATGCTCAGGCATAGCCTGAAAATGAGGAGAAATTTAGCAAAGAACAACTTTTGGCTTGTTGTAATCGTAAACTAGTCAAATGTTATAAACTATGTCTGATTTTCACTTTTTGTAAAATTTGGTTGTATAATGGATGGGATACATATAACAGATGGATCTCAAATCTGGGTCAAAAATCATGGAGGGGGAGGGAAAGGTTTACACAAAAGGCAATCAGGGGAATTATGAGGAATGGAAATTGTATTATAATTTAAAACAAAGAAACCCCCCATCCTGACCCTTCAAAACCAGGATTCTGTAGTTTACTGGTATGATTTTATGTTATTAATTTCCTAACACAAAGTGAATTCCCATATAACTTCAAGGCCAAGTACCCCTCTTAAAATACATGAATGTCAACCTCTTTATTACATAAATACATTGCATATGTATCACTTTCATCTTGGATGCATTCATTATAAAAGTAAAAACTCAAGGGGTGAGTGAAAAAATGTTGACTTGACTAAGAGATTGCTAACCTGAAAAGGTTTGGAAACACTAAGGATAGAGCTTATTAAAAAGGAACATTTCTGGGTGCTTGTACTAAGGAAATTGTTTATCAAGTCTGATTACCATTGAATTCAGCCTAAAGTTTAATCAGAAGAAAACTTTAATGTAAATAAATGTCATGAAAAACCAAACCAGAATTCTGTAGTTTACTGGGATGATTTTTATATTACAGTATTCATCTCCTAACACAAAAGGCATTTCCATATAACTCCCCTTTCTAAATCGGCGGGGGAGAGGAGGGAGGGAGAACCCACAGAAAAATCAGTTGGGAGCTACATACAACTGAGAAGCAAAAAGAAAAAAAACCCTCACTAATGTGGCCTAACTGAGGCATGCAGTGCTTTTCTTAGTTTTACCCTTTGTTCTACATATTTTGTACCTTAGAGTAAGGGTTTAACTATGTTCCCTGTACCTAGCTAGGTAGCGGTCAGCCAAAAGAAATGCAGATAGGGATTTCAAACTGAGACAAAGGAATTTTGGGGTTTACCCTCCTTTGTCTCTGAGCCAGTTTGTTCTCTAGATACTGAGGGAGACAGAAGACATGTTTCTCTCCAAGAAAAAGACTCTTCATAATGTAGAAGCAGAGTAAAGTCTAGATAAATCTGTCAGGTTGTATTGTTTTCTGCTTTGGGGATTTGGATCTGATGTCTGTGCTGTTAGAAATGGTTTTCCTCTCTTTTGCAACTAAGTTTTGGCCCATGGGGGAATCCTCTATGAGTATATTAATTGGTGGCTCTTACCAGCTAACCATTCCAACTATGCTTGTAACTGGGGTATTGTTTTAATAATAAAAGTTCCTTCTTTTTTTAATTAACCTGGTATTGGTTTATTTCTTTGTCCTGGAAAATCTGTCTGTGGATCTGCATGCCTCTGACTAGCATCAAGCTCACTGGGGGAAAAGAGCTTGAGGTACCTCTGAGGTTTTTAGGGAAGAGGTTTCCGAAGTGACCTCTTTCCTGGGGTTTTGTTTTTCTTGTGATACTTGGGTGGTGGCAGCAGGTTTTATTTTCCAAAGTCCGGGTGTTAGGATTTTGGAGGAAGTTTTGTACCAAAGCCTGTACAGACCAGGTTTTGGGGTGCTTTTGGAGACCACTGCTTCTGCATTCGTTGTGCCACAGTAGGGAACAGCCTTGACAATGTGTCACTGGTTCTTTTACTTGGTTGTTAAGCCAGGTTGGCCCATTTTGGTTCTCTTACTGTGTTTTTTAATTTGGGGTATACATTTAAGTTGGGTCTCTATTATGGTGTCTTTGAAAAGTTTCCATGCAGCTTGCAGAGATTTTACTTTTGAAACTGTACCTTTTAATTCCTGTTTAACTTCCTCATTTTTGTGTAGTTCCCCTTTCTGAAATTAAATTCCACAGTGTTGGGCTGTTTTTCCCACCACAGGGATGTTACATTTTATTACATTATGGCCACTATTTCCAAGTGGTCCAGTTATATTTACCTCTTGAACCAGATCCTGTGCTCCATTTAGGACTAAATCAAGAATAGCCTCTCCCCTTGTGGGTTCCAGAACCAGCTGCTCCAAGCAGCAATTGTTTAAGACATCAATAAATTTTATCTCTGTATCCCGTCCTGAGGTCACTATCACTGTCCTGATCAGGTGGTCGATAATATATCCCTACTGCTATATTCTTATTATTGGAGCATGGAATTATTGGAGCAGGGATTCTATGGAACATTTTGGCTCATTTAACATTTTTACTTCATTTGATCCTACACGTATAGTGCCACTCTCCCACCAGCATGAACTAGTCTATGCTTCCGATATATTTTGTACCCTGGTATGACTGTGTCCCATTGATTGTCCTCATTCCACCAACTTTCTGTGATGCCTATTATATCAATATCCTCCTTTAAAACTAGGCACTCTAGTTCACCCATTTTATTATTTAGACTTCTAGCATTTGTGTATAAGCACTTTAAAAAATTGTCATTATTTATCTGTCTCCCATTTCCTGATCTATTAGACTCTTTTTCATTTGATTGAGTCTCATCTGATCTGACCCATACTTCCATCCTCTCCTTCTGACTGGAACATAGAGCATCTCTATTAATAGACCCTCCCTTAAGAGATGTCTCTGTTTGATCCATGTGCTCCTCCGCACCCATCGGCTTTCCCCCAGCCCTTAATTTAAAACTGCTCTACCACTTTTTTAATGTTAAGTGCCAGCAGTCTGGTTTGAGACTTTTTAATCAACTCTCTGGTCACAGGTTGCTCTGGTGAAAGGGCTGACAGGTGCTAAATGAACCTGTTGCATTCACATAGTTGGGGAAACAGAGGAATTGTCCATAGCCCAGACTGCAGATTTTCACCTATGGTAAAGTGCAAGAAGCCAGGCCTGTCACTCAAGAGAGACTAAAAAGGATCTAAAATGCAGTTTGCCCTGTAACTGTGGCACATTCTATGGTTAAATTAATGCCTACATGGACAAAGAAATGGTCTGAGCTGAGATGTGTTTATTTAAACTACTGTACAACGGAATTCACATTCATTCCAAAGGTCAGTTCAGTGAAAAGTGACATAAAGCTTGTGCACAGGGATCTTCTATGGAGTTTTCAGTGCTGAAGTTTTTTACCTTCTAATACAGTGTTGGTGCACAATAGTGTTTATTTACTGAATGCCAACAGTATGCTGGGCGGATTACAAACATGGAGGAAGACATAGACCCTGCCCCAAGGAGCTTACAATCTAAAATTAGGGATAGACAGTACTGTTAGAATATATAAAGCTAAGTCTGAGATCTTGTCAGCCAGAATTAAGATGACCAGAATACCAAATTGTATATATATATATATATATAGCGAGAGAGAGAGAGAGAGAGAGAATAGGGCAGAGCGGTGTCTTGTGTTTTGGGACGATATACCGTATATACTCGAGTATAAGCCGAGTTTTTCAGCACAGTTTTTGTGCTGAAAAATGCCCCCCTCGGCTTATACTCGAGTCAGCATCTCGAGAACTGAGGCGGGCGGGCTCAGCGCGTCTCTGCCGCTGGCCGGGTCTAGCCGGGTCTAGCCCCGGAAGTCGGGGCGAAAGCTGCTCCGGTGCCCCTGGTCTGCTGGAGACCGTCTCCAGCAGACCAGGGGCACCGGGCGGGTTCCCGCGCTTCTGAGGCTTTGCCAGAGCAAAGCTTCAGAGGCGCGGGACCCCCCCGTGGCTGCGGCTTCAGGGCGGCCCTTCAGGGGCTCATTGGATTGGCGGGAGGACTTTGAGGACTGTGTTGTGATCTTCTAATATTTAACATTACCGGTATTTATTTATTTATTTCTCCTACCAAGAAATCTTAAGCACTTGCACTGAATTTGTCCTAAAAGGTAAAACCCTGCATGTAAAGTTTATTGTCCAGTGAGATCTATTAGATGATCATTAATTAATATACAATCTCTCTCAACTTATGACGCTGAGCTGTATACTTCTTACACAATATGTGGAATACAGGGGATGGAGTGGGTGGATTCTATAAGGAGTGGGGCTTATGAGAAGTAAGAGGGGTCAAAAAGGAGGGACGGGACTGGCGCCCCCCACATCCTAAAAATTCTTTTTTTTATCCTGTTAGAAATGGATCCCAATATTGGTACTTCTAATCCTGTAGCTGCCTCATTTCCTACCCTAGGCTTATACTCAAGTCAATATTTTTTCCCAGTTCTTTGGGGTAAAATTAGGTGCCTCGGCTTATATTCGGGTCGACTTATACTCGAGTATATACGGTATATCTATATGTCTACATCCTAAAAATTCTTTTTTTTATCCTGTTAGAAATGGATCCCAATATTGGTACTTCTAATCCTGTAGCTGCCTCATTTCCTACCCTAGGCTTATACTCAAGTCAATATTTTTTCCCAGTTCTTTGGGGTAAAATTAGGTGCCTCGGCTTATATTCGGGTCGACTTATACTCGAGTATATACGGTATATCTATATGTCTATACATATGCTAGTGAGAAAGGCAATGACAGGCAGTTTGGGGAAAGAAGTGGTTTGAATTTTCTCTGGTGCTGCATGGCTTTGTGCTTCCTGAAAAGAAAAAAAAAGCAAATAAATAAATAAAATGAGCACTGACATAAGACTTCATATGCAAAGCACTGTACAACATTAGGGCACATTAATCTCCAAGCAGTGAAGGAACTCAGTCCTCGTATGAGTGTAGAGCCGGAGATGGGGAGGTTTGTCCTTCATCCCTCACAAAACCAGGCAAGCACCGAGCCTTCATGCTGGCACCCATAGATCTGCTGAATTCTGTCAGTGGAAGCCCAGATACTGAAGACTGTGGGGTGTCTATTAACTTAATTGGGCTTATGATCAGCTTCTGCACGTACTGCAGAGAATGAGAGAATGTGTCCTACTTGGGGGAAAATCTGCTAGAAGCATTGAGTTTCCCATTCACTAAACAAGTGTTTTCCCAGTTAGGAGCTGATGTGGCCCTTAACTACCCTTTCTCCTTTAAGAAGGAAAAACAAAGAAAACCTGGGAAATTAAATACAAAAACATACTTTGATGTAACACTATATTAACAATGTTAAACATTCAGATGTGTGGTCATGGGAGCATTAAGAGGTCCTTTCCCCTCTCATCTTGTAAGTATAAGTCAGGCGCACTCCTTTGATGTCAATGGAGTTGCAGTGATGAAGAATGGAGGGAACTCATACCTACTTCATACATACTGAGCATGATGATGTATTAGTTTATCCTGCTGTGTATTTTTCTTAATACAAAATGGGCTCAATCCTGGTGTTACATGTGCATTCAGAAATGCATGTATAACTCCAGTACAAGATGCCTGGATATTTCTGAAGGAAAAACTGAGCTTCATATGTGCCGTGTGGGTTATTACAGAGAATCTCAACCTTTACATTTCCAGACTTTAGTGTTTAAAATTGGAACTTCATGATTATTATTATTGTTATTATTCATTTGAATAGCATTGATCATCATTTTATGACCCATACATATATATTCCAGGAGTGCAGGAAGGAAAGGAAAGTTTAATATACTTATGAATAGCACCCTACTATGCAGCTACTATAAAACAACTCTTTATTATAGTAGGTGGCACAAGTTCTCCTTTGGCTGATGTGCCCGTGAGTGTTCCACGTATGGTGACGGACATCCCTGGAGATGCAAATTGGAGATTGGCTTCCCCAACTCCTAAGAGGCTAAGGATGAGGTCACTGCCACCTCAGCTGTCCCTCAGACACAGCAGGGGGGACACTCGTGGCACCACAAGTGCTTCAGTGCAGAAAGCCTCTCCAGGCACCACTGATGTGGCACCAAGGCAGCGCTTTGTGCCCGTGCATGCCTCTTCCGCTTCATAGAAGCCACACCAGCAAACCCTGGTGCCAGCTCACACTTCCCGCCACCCAGCACTGAACCAGTACACAGAGCCACTTTCAAGCAGCTCCATGAAATCAGTGCACCATCGCAGGCTGCACGGTCTGCCCAACTGCCTCCCAGTGACAAGGCTGCTCCATGTGTCCAGCAGACAGATCAAACTGACACGCAGGTGCTAGGCAAAAGCAAGACACACACTTCTTCTGAGGGGAGGCGCACTTGCTCCCTCCCCCCACCTGGACAGCACATACCTATCCCCACATCACCTCACTCTCCAGTCTGGGCATCTTCATGGCCACATGACACTGCTACACTTCACTATGATCAAAGGAGTACATTTTCTTCACAACGTTCATCCCCCACAATGTTCCGAAGCTACCACCATTACAGGGACCATCCTTACTATCCACAATGGTATCCTGACTGTCATTACCCACCGCCATATTAACCACCGCAGTGGACACCCTGGCACTACTGGAGATCACAGAGGTGTTGTTTGAATGGTCTATCTTCTTCGCCTAGAAGACTTCTGCCAGCCTCTCCACCCCATACTATCCTGACCATGCCAGATTCCAAAGAGGAGGAGGGTCAGCTAGCCGATGGTCATGGAGGTTCACACTCCCCATGAGACAATCCTTTCCCTCTCTAGATGAGGCTATGGTCCCTGATGATATGCATGGCACCAACAATTTGAAAACATTTCAAGACCTCTTCAAAAAAGTGGCCACCACACAAGAAGTCAAGCTTCAGGAAGTAAAGGAGAAGCTGCATCACCTTCTTAAAAACTTTCATCCTTCCACAAGGGGCAGAATAGCTGAGGCCATGATGGAAGTCTCAGATAATGTCTGGAAAACACCTTCTTCAGCTCCACCAACTTGCAAAAGGGTGGACAAAAAGTATTTTGTTCCCCCAAAGGAGCTTGATTTTCTTTTCTCCCACCCCCAACCTAATTCCTTGGTGGTGAATGCTGCAAATCAAAGATACAAGATTCCCCAGTTTAGATCCAATATAGGGGACAAAGATCATAAAAAACTTGATCACTTCAGGAAAAAAGTGTACTCCTCAGCTATTCTGCAGCTTAGGATAGCAAATTACATGGCCTTATTAGCAAACCATGACTTTGATAACTACTCTAAATTAGCAGAACTCATGGAGCATTTACCAGAGTCCGAAAGATCTATCCTTTGAGCGATCGTTCAGGAGGGCCGTGCTATTGCCCGCACTGCACTACTAGTGGCAATTAACGTAGCTGATGGGGCTGTGAGGGCAACAGCCACGGCGACAGTCATGAGAAGGGTGTCATGGTTACAGGCTGCAGGGGTCCCCAAAGATCTTCAGAATAAAGTAGAGGACCTACCTTTCGATAAGCTAAAACTTTTTGTGGCCAACGCCGACGAGATCCTGCATGGTAGTAAGAACTCCCACAGTACCCTACTCACCCTAGGGATGTATACGCCACCAGGGCTGGCCTTAGGCCAATTTGCCCAATTCCCCCGAATCGGGCCCCGCGCCTAAAAGGGTCCCGCGCCCTGAACCTGGAAATGTGCTGGGCACCATGGGCGGCGAGTTAATATTCAGAGCCGGAGACCCTGCTCCAGCAATATTTGGAGCTGGGCCTCTCCCCCAGCTCTGCCTGGAGTGGTCCCCGGCCCCCGCCTACCGGCCCCCACACACATTCTCCCTCCCTGGCCCCAGAGCATCCCTCTTGGCCCCGGACCGTCCCATATAAGAGAAGATGCTCACCCCATACAACAGGACCAGAGAGTCATTCTACAACCTGCTGCAACACAAGCCCTATGATTATACCAGGAACAGGCAACGTATCCAGAGCATCAGCATCCACACTCCTCAGGCTCCCAAGCTACCAAACAACAAATTTGAAACATTGGTCGAGGATCTGCACAACCTGCCAGATCTTCCAGTGCAATGACAGGAATAAGGCTGCCTATTCCACCCCAGGCTTCACCCCTATATCTATCAGTGGGGCATTATAACATCAGACCACTGGGTTTTGGAAATCATACGCACAGGTTGCACTATCCCATTTACTTTCATCCCACCTACCCATCTCCCCATCCCATCCCTCTTCAGGGACCCTTTTCACGAGTTTCCTCTCAAGCAAGAGATCAAGTAGCTTCTTCAACTAGGAGCCATGGAAAGGGTTCCCACTCCATACTGGGGAAGAGGTTTTTATTCAATGTATTTTCTCACCCAGAAGTGCACAGAAGGCTGGAGGCCAATACTGGATCTCCAGAAGCTGAACAAATTCCTGCAGAAACAGCATTTCAAAATGTTTCTAGCCTCAATAATTCTAGCACTGGACAGAGGGAACTGGTTCGCAGCCTTTGACTTACAAGACATGTATTTCCACATAACCATACATCCATCACACAGATGTTTCCTTCACTTCACAGCAGCAGGGGAACATTTTCAATATAAGATCCTTCCCTTCAGCCTGTCATCGGTCCTGCGGGTTTTCTCCAAAGTCCTCTCAGTCATGGCAGCATACCTCAGACAACAGGGGGTGATGACTTTTTCTTATCTCGACAACTTCTTACTGAAAGGTCGTTCGCAAGGGGAGGCGATTGACATGATAACAAGTACCAAGCGACTGTTCAACTTGCTGGAACTTTTAATCAACTAACAAAAGTCAACACCCAATCCAGTTCATGACTTAAAATTCATAGGAGCAAGACTCGATGCCACAGCAGCCAGGGCATACCTTCCGCAATACAGGTTCCATACCCTTTGAGATTTGGTTTTCACCCTCAACACAAATCCATCCACCACAGTCCGTATCAGCCTTTGACTCATAGGGTACATGGCGGCTCCCACATATGTGGTACAGTATGCATGCCTCCATTTTTGGGCCTTGTAGCATTAGCTAGCATCGGTCTACATGCCCTCATGTAATTCGTTGCACAAACCAGTACCTGTGACCGAGCAAGTGCTGCAGTCGCTCAGATGGTGGACATCTCCATGCAATCTCTTAACTGAGATCCTGCTTTTACAGGAGGAGCCTGCAGTACAAATTACCACAGATGCTTTACTACTGGATTGGGGTGCGCACTTCCAAAGCAAAACTGTTCCAGGCAAATGGCTGCTGCACGAGACTCTGTTACACATCAACATTCTAGAACACAGCGCCATCAGAAATGCCTGCAGACACTTTGCCTCTTCCATGACCTACTGCTCAGTTCATGTTCTCACAGACAACATGACCACTGTGTACTACATAAACAGGCAGGGAGAGTGCATTCCAGATCTCTGGTGCAGAGGCAGTCTGCATGTGGAATTGGTGTATAAGGCATGGGGTGACCCTAAAAGCCATGTACTTACCAGAGGTGGACAAAACCATGGCAGGTGCCCTAAGCTACAACTTTACAATTCACCATGAGTGGGAACTCCACCCAGCAGTCATGGATATCATCTTCTGCAAATGGAGCTATCCTACCACGGATCTCTTTGCAACAGCGAACAAGACCAAATGTCCCAAATTTTGCTCTTGAGCAGGACTGGGCAGGAGATCCAGGGATGATGCATTCCTCCTCACGTGGGACAAACCACTGTATGATGCCTTTCCTCCAATTCCGTTGATTACCAGGGTGTTGCGCAAAATTTGTCTGCACAGCGCTTGAGTTATCTTGATAGTCCCCACTTGGTGCAGACAGATTTGATTTCCAGTCCTTCAGGACTTCTCTCAAACCTGCTTACCACACCAAAACAACCGCCTTCTCGAGGGTTCCAAGACCACGAGGTCCACTGCTCTGAACGTGTGAGAGATGTCCTACTGCACAACAGGAGGGAGTCCACCAGGGTGACTTACCTGCAGAAATGGAGGTGTTTCACCTCCTGGTGTGAGACGACACAAGTCAACCCCAATGAAGCTCCAATACAAACTATTCTGGACTACTTATGCACCACGAGCACAGATGGGTTATCTGTTTCTTTGATCAAGGTCCACCTGGCCACCATCTCGGCCTTCTGCGAATGAATTTGGTATTTGTACACCTACTATCATGGAGGTTTCTCAAAAGTCTTCACAATCTGTGTCCACCTTGTAGGATGCCAACCCCCACATGGGACCTTAATCTGGTATTGACTGCTCTCATGAAGCCTCCTTTCAAGCCAATGGCTTTCTATACCCTGTTGCTACTCACCATGAAAGTTCTCTTTCTGGTAGCCATAATTTCTGCGAGGATAGTCAGTGAAATAGGCATGCTAATGGAGGGCCCACCCTATACAGTGTTCGGTCAGGATAAAGTGACTTTAAGACCGCATCCAACGTTCCCCTCAAAGATTAGCATGAGCTTCCATATCAATGAGCCTGTTGTCCTGCCTGTGTTCTTCCCAAGACCTCAAGTTTCTCCCAGGGAGGCAATCTGCATTTGTTGGATGTACAAAGAGCTTTGGCATTTTACACTGACAGAACTCAGGGTTTTCACAAGACCGCATGACTCTTTGTTGCTACAACTGGCCTTTCAAAGGGCAACACCATCTCAACTCAGTGAATTTCAAAATTGATAGTGACTTGCATTCTACAATGCCATTCACTCTCCAGCAAACCTCTGCTAGCCTTACCGAGAGCCCATTCTATTCGGGCTATGGCAGCATCCACAGCTTTCTTCAAAAATGTGTCACTATGAGACATCTACCGGGCAGCCATGTGGTCCTCTGATCACACATTCTCTAAACATTAGTCATGCCACAACTGGAAAACGATACAGCGGTGGCCATAGCAGTTCCATCTGCTGCTATTAAGCAGTAACTCTGAGTCCCACCAACCACATGGGACAGTGCTTGGTACAGTGAACCCTCGTTTATCGCGGTAGATAGGTTCCAAACCCGACCGCGATAGCTGAAAATCCGCGAAGTAGGGACACCATATTTACGTATTTGGGGTCTTCATATATCGCGGCTATTTTCGAAATTTCCGGAAAATCCGCGATATATTTCTTTTATAATATATACATACAAAAAGTCCGCGAAGTCGTGAATCCGCGATGGTCGAACCGCGAAGTAGCGAGGGCTCACTGTAGTCACGATATGTGAAGCACCCACGGGGATGTCACCCGAAGAAGAAAAGTGAGTTACTTTCCTTGCACTGTAACAATTGTTCTTTGTGGTGTGTGTCCCCATAGGTGCTCCACTACCCTCCTTTCCTCCCACAACTCGGAGTACATCTGCTCTGCAGTAGACGAGGAACTGAGTAGAGGGGGTGGGCCACACTCAAACTGCTGGCATCATGAGATGCCTGCTGCACATGCACAACCTGACTAGCAACTACTTAGAAAAAGCTCCAATTTGCAGCTCTGAAGATGTCTGTCACCATACATGGAGCACCCATGGGGACACACACCTCGAAGAACAGTCGTTACTGCAAAAGGTGAGTAACTCCCTTTTTCTCATGTCCCTATGACTTTGATCTATTGGCAAAATATCTGTGAAGAATCAAACACAAAATATTCTCTGGAGCACAATATACAGCTATGTGTGAGCGAGTGTGTGTGTATATGCATATATACCACCTTCTCTCTCTCTCTCACACACACACACACACACACACACACACACACACACACACACACACACACAGATGCATGTTTCTAGGGTCTAGCTATAAAAGTACACTTTAAATACATCCGCTTGGCAAAAAACCAGGGTGAGATTCTCTCTGTGTTCAGCTTATTACCAGCCAAGTCAGAACAGTGACAATGGCAGGTCTTGATGGAATTGAATATATTGGCCTTTTAATTAGGAGACAGGCCCCCTCTGATCGATCACATCTAGAATTTGTTAAGACCATAACAAAGGGTGAAAAGAAAATACTAAAAATGGATGTTTTCTTTAGGAATAGGAAGAGGAGTTGTGTGTAAGATATTATATTTGGATTCCTACCTTCCTCCTGTTGCAAAACTAAATATAAAAAAACAGTTATCTTCTGAAGTTAAATGGGCATTATCCCTTTAAAATCTTGGAGTTAAAAAGGAGTTTTACATACTATCCCTGCCTTTGGGGCCCACTTTATGTTCTTTTGATTTTACAAGTGACTCTTCCAGTTTAAAAATATATATTTCCCTCATCCTTGATAACCTATAAGACCCACAAATAGCAGGAAAAACTGACTGACTATATGCGGGAGGGAATAATAAATTGACTATGTGCAGAATGCTGTCAAATATATAAAGTAAGCAAACAAGAAAAATATTTTTGTCTAATCTCAATTCTAATCACTTCAGGTGTTACTTGTAGCAATATTAGGTGAAATTTCAGACAGAATCAGGATTTTTAAGTATATGATGTTTCTTTAATCTTGTTCAAAAACTAAGGTAACTTCCCTTCATAATTACCTGAAAAACCTTTTGACGAAAAAATGCCATAAAAAGTACTAAGATTCTTCCTCTTCCTCCTCTTCCTCCTCCTCTTGCTCCTTCTCCTCTTCCTTGTTTGTAGAAAGAGATACAAAGTGGCCACAAGAGAGTTGAAAGAAAAATTAGCACTCTTGAAATGCAGACCCGTAAATTTGCAACTATATTATGTTTCAAGCAGATGTAACATTCATTAGTATATAAAACAGAAATAGCACAGATATAATTAATGTAGGTTTTTTTTTTTTAATGAATGGAGATGCCTATCTCCTAAAACCAGAAGGGACCTTCAAAGATCATCAAGTCCAGTCCTCTGCCTTCACAGCAGGACCAAGTACCATCCCTGACAGATTTTACCCCAGATCCCTAAATAGCCTCCTCTAGGAGAGAGCTCACAACCCCAGGTTTAGCAGGCTAATGCTCAAACCACCAAGCTATCCCACCCCCTGTGTTTGTTTTAAAATACACAGAGAGACTAGCCTAATGGTATTAATAGGCAAGCTTTGAGGTGTAAAAATCCCTTTTTACAGATCAGTTGGGGAAAAAGAAACATCTCAGGGTGCGTCTAGATAGCACCCTTCTGTTGGAATAAACTACGCAATTTGCGTAATGCAAATTGCATAGTTGATTCCGAGTTTAAGTCTACATAGCGCTGAATTTCAAAATAAGGCACTATTCTGACAAATCTCTTAACCCTTGTTGAACGAGGGCTACACAGACGCTGGAATAGCTCAACACCCCTTGCCTCAGGAACTAGGCTGCTGCAAAGCCTGAAGTCATTCACTGCCAAATAATAAGCCTGTGTTTCCATTCCCAACATGTTCTTTGCGTTTTGACATATAGAATGAATTTCAATGAAAACATCCAAAAAAATATTCTGACTAAGGAATATCAGCCAGCCAAAGGAGCCATTATCTGAAAGTTGTCACTTACATGCCACAGAGGGTACATCTGATGAGTACATCTACACTAGAGGTGGGCAATAAAACAACAGCGTACCACGGCTGCTATATTTACCAGTACCTCCACAGGTACAAGCAATCGCAGCTCCCATTGGCCAGGAACAGCAATCCATGGCCAATGGGAGCTATGATCCCCCATAACTTCTGAGGCACAGGTAAATACAGCATTGTGGGGGCCTGCCGGGGGCTAACCCTAGTAGACCGGATCCACCTGTGGGCTGATATTTGCCCACCCGTTTCTATATGGAATAAAAGACTCATGACATCGGTGCAGCTGATTGGGGTTACCTGACTTGAGCTCATGGGACTCAGGCTGGAAGGCTATAAATTGCAGTGTTGACATCCAGGCTCAAACCTGAGCCTGGGCTCTGAGACCCTGGAAGGAACGATGATCTGTAAGCTTGGGCTCCAACCCAGCCTCTAATATCTGCACTGTAATTTTCCACTCCCAAAAGCCCAAGTTAGTTGGCCTGGGCTCTGAGACTCAGATCTGTGGGGTTTTTAATCAGGGCACATCCATACTACATGGAAGACCAATGCTGCCGTGGTCAGAGGACGCCCCCATTGGCGCCAGTACTCCTGCTCCTCATGAGGAGTAAGCGAAGCCATTTGCTCCCATCAGCCTCCTGCTGTATGGATGGCAAGAAATGTGATATAAGATACTTCGATTCCAGCTACATAATTTACGTAGCTGAAATTGTGCATCTTACTTTGACTTTCTGATGTAGTGTAGACCAGGCCTCAAGTGTAAACATACACTTGTTTGTTCTGTCTTCCTCTGCAATGCAACTGAAGCTTTAAAAGGCAGTTCTGCTCTGAAAGAGGGTAAAAGTGCATTATGCTGTTTTGTGTTTATTGTCCTTCAATGATTTCTGGATTACGTCTGCTTCTTTTGCGAGTAAAAAATATTGCTAACTGCCACACCAACGGATTCCATCCAGATAGTGAAAAATCAGGATGGGTTCTTTCAGGAGTGTGCATAAAAAAGCAATTAACAAGTGGGCAACTAGACTGCAATTAGAAGTTCCCCCACTCAGAGCTATATTAACTCTGTAGTGCTAACAGAAGCTATAAAAAATACTTGAGTCAGCAAAATAAATGGTTACAACTAAATGCACAGGTGGGAGGAGACCTGATGAGTACAAAGGTGCCAGTTTAACATAGCTGCATTAAGGGATCAGTTCTTCACAGTAAAACTTTATAAAGCTCCCCTTAGATTAACTTAAATGTGATGTTTTTGGAACTAATTCTCATCTATCCATAAGAAGGATTTCTATTATCCAGTATTCTCAAAAACAATCCAAGAAGGCTCACAAACAACTGACATCATTTTAGTTTTGCTTATTGGATTTGAAATTCAAACCACTACATTTAAAGCATCAAGTGTAGAGATACTTTTTAAAAGATCTCTATATGACCTAGCTTTGATGTATAACTATTCAGTGAGGTAATGGAGCAGAACCTAGGGAGATGTTTAAAAAGCAGCAACATAGCAATAGATGGATGTAGATTCCTTCCATAAGAGAGTCCTGCTTCTCTCAAATTTAGAGATGGAAAGCAAAAGGGGTTTTACTTCTCTGAGGCCCTGGCTGATAGAAGAAGTGAATAGAGAAAACCTGGAGCATTCCTAACAACGGGTCGCTTTTAGGTCTGCATGACACAGCTCTGACTATTGCCATGTATAGATAATAAATCTGTTACAAAACAGAAAAATGGCTATTTTCCAATATGAATCAGCAATTAGCTCAGGCGAGTAATTAAACTTATTGAGGAAGATTTAGCACATAAACCTGCAACCCCAGTGTGACTACTGACTGATCTATTGACTTATCTTTGTAAAGGTTTGATAGATAAGTCTCTATATATTCTGGGCAGGGATAAGGTGTCTTGTATGGGCAACACCACTTCAGCTGTAAGGACAGTTCTTAGGGATTCGAGACATTTATAACACATAATACAGACAGTTTTAAATTAGTGAGTTTCAGAGGAAATGGGTGTCTTGAGAACCTACTGACTGATCTATTGACTTATCTTTGTAAAGGTTTGATAGATAAGTCTCTATATATTCTGGGCAGGGATAAGGTGTCTTGTATGGGCAACACCACTTCAGCTGTAAGGACAGTTCTTAGGGATTCGAGACATTTATAACACATAATACAGACAGTTTTAAATTAGTGAGTTTCAGAGGAAATGGGTGTCTTGAGAACCCTCAGCAAATTTTATTAAAGAGTTTTTGAATGAAAGGTTCCCTTCATTAAGTTTCTAATTGTCAGGGTCAATGGTCTGCTGTTCAATCTGATAGATTGTGACAATGAACAATAACTGTACCAGACTTTAATGTCAGTATTTTAAGTTTGAAAGTGGGTAGCTGCCAAAGAGATTTGTGAATTAACTCACTTCTAGATGGGGATGAGCGGGAACTGAATGCATGCACACACTACAGTGTACTATGGAAAACATAGTATCTGAACATGCTATTGCATCTCTATCACTGGGTGTTCTTCCTCCTCTTCCTACACAAAAAGAGCTACCAAAAAGATTTTTAAAGGGGCAGATCAAAGAAAGAATGTCAAAGGTCATAGAGGGAAAAGAGATGAGATTAAAACCTATTTAAATTCGAGCAATTTAAATTCTGAACTCTGAACTATATTTTGAGGTACTGTTCCCTAGAAGATCACATCCAAAGAACACTTACACTGTGTTTCTATTCTGAAAAGTGACTACAAAATTATGATAATAGATTCCTATATCTTTTGTCTCTCAATGACTTCCAGTCAATTCTTCTCAACTTACAAAGAATGGATGCTTTTTTCCTAATTGTCTACCCTGTAAAATCAAAATGGACTCAAGAGTCATGATAGGCCATATCTTGCTTGTACAATAACCAAGGATTAAAATTATGTATTTGGAATTTAGTTAACAATTCTGCTGAGGAAGAGAATCCAGCAGACATGTTGGCTTTGAAATGCCTATAGGAACAAAAAGTAATGCAAACTGGTTTTAGATAGTAAAGTTAGCACAAGTGATTGAGGAAAACCTTTACAATAAATATTATTTAGTTTAAAATAGTAACTTGCTTACTGAGGCAAGGGGGCTAACCCTACACAAGAAGTAGAGGGCTTGAAGGAATGGAGGTGATGGGACAGGAGAGCACAGAAGATGCAATTAGTTGCTATGGGCACATGTATAGTGAGTTCTGAGGGAAAAGTGAGGCAGTTTGCATATGACCTGAGAAATTATTTGAGAAATAGCAGGCACCTATGCCATAACACAATTTTAAAATAACTTAAAAAAACAACAAATAGTTCTGCAGCACCTTAGGGTATGTCTACACTTGCCCTCTACTTCGAAGTAGGGAGGCAAATGAAGCATACTGAAGTTGCAAATCAAGCCCAGGATTTAAATATCCCACGCTTGATTTGCATGTTCCCAGCCGGTCGCCATTTTAGAAATTCACTAGCCTGGAGTAACTGCTACACGCAGCAGTGAAACGGGAGTCCGATTTAAAGTCCTAACTCAAATTAGATGGTATTCCTCTTGCAATGAGGTAATTTTTCCTTAGATAAAAGGTAAGGAAAAATAATACGACATTCAAGAGAAATGGGCAGGGCAATGTAGGCCTTGTTCATGTCATATGAGGTGGAAAATTGGGGTTGAAAAAAAGATACCTGAAAAGAGAGAGAAAGGATGATGCAGAAGAAGTGACAGGAGAAAGGAGGAAAGGAAGAGAAAGTGGAAGAGCAGAGAGAAGAGAGGCAACACTTAGGTCAGGCCAGTGAGTACAGCAGCATTCATAGTCTACAGAAGTCCAAAATGTAGCTGTTTCTTATGACAAGAAGAAGGCCACATATATGAAGGTTGTTTCTTCTGCTGCAGCAGCTACCTAGATGACTTTCTGCAGGAGTTCCTGGACACATGGGTGAGTAAATGAGGGGAGAGAGAGAACTACTGAGGCCCAGTGGCCCAGAGAATATGTTGACAGATCTAGTCAGTAGTGCGTGGTGAGGAAGGCCATCAGACATAACTGCACTTTTCCCTTCTACTTCCTGAGGCTGATGTGTGTGAGGAGTTTTTCAAGGATTTGGAGGACTGTAATTGGTCTCCTCAGCAGT